CACAGCAACCTCCAACTTCTGGGCTCAAGTGAGTCTCCTGCCTTTACCTCCCAAGTAGCTGGGACTACAGGCACCTGCCACAACGCCCGGCTTTTTTTGCAGTCGTCATTGTTGTTTGGCAGGCCTGGCTGGATTTGAACCCACCAGCTCAGGTGTACGTGGCTGGCGCCTTAGCTGCTTGAGCCACAGGCGCTGAGCCAGGCTATTTTTTAGAGATGGGGTCTCACTCTTGCTCAGACTGGTCTCAAACTTATGAGGTCAAGCAATCCACCCACTTTGGCCTCCGAGAGGACTATACAGGCATGAGCCACCTCACCCGGCCTCACTTGCACTATTGAACGTAATTTGCTTTACCCAAAGTCTACTGACTTAAATATTCATCTTACCTAAAAAAAATACTTTCACAGAAATATCTAGAGCAGGCTCGGCACCTGTGGCTCAAGTGGCTAAGGCACCAGCCATATACACCTAAGGTGGTGGGTTCGAATCCAACCCCGGGCCTGCCAAATAACAATGATGGCTGCAACCAAAAATAGCTGGGCATTGTGGTGGGCGCCTGTGGTTCCAAGTACTTGGGAGGCTGAGGCAGGAGACTCGCTTGAGCCCAGGAGTTGGAAGTTGCTGTGAGCTCTGATGCCAGGGCACTCTACCCAGGGGGACAGCTTGAGGCTCTGTCTCAAAAAAAAAGAAGTATCTAGAGCAATGTTTGATTAAATACAACATCTGGGTTTCTTGGCCTGGTCTGTTTGACATACAAAATTAACCATAACAAGTGGAGTACAGTGACTCATGCAGGTAATCCCAGCACTTCAGAAGGTTAAGGGCCAAGACCACCTTGGACAACATGGTGAGACCTCATGTCTACAAAAATTAGCCGGGCATGGTGGTGCACACTTGTAGTTTCAGCTACTTGGGAGGCTGAAGCAAGAAGATGGCTTAAGGCAAGGATAGCCTGGACTACAAAGTGAGAACCCCATCCTTAAAAAAAATTAACTATTTTAACTGGCTCACACCTGTAATCCTAGCACTCTGGGAGGCCAAGGTGGGTGGACTGCCTGAGCTCAGGAGTATGAGACCAGCCTAGCAAGAGCAAGACTCTGTCTCTAAAAATAGCCAGGTGTTGGGCAGTGCCTGTGGCTCAGTGGTTAGGGCGCTGGCCCCATATACCAAGGGTGGCAATCCAGCCCTGGCTAAACTGCAACAAAAAAATAGCTGGGCATTGTGGCAGGCACCTGTAGTCCCAGCTACTTGGGAGGCTGAGGCAGGACAATCACCTAAGCCCAGGAGTTGGAGGTTGCTATGAGCTGTGTGATGCCACGGCACTCTACCAAGGCAATAAAATGAGATTCTGTCTCTACAAAAAAAAAAAAAAAAAAAATAGCCAGGTGTGTGGCAGGAACCTAAAGTCCCAGCTACTTGAGAGGCTCAGGCAAGGGGATCATTTGAGCCCAAGAGTTTGAAGTTGTTTTGAGCTATGGTGCCACGGCATAGCTCTACCCAGGTTGACAAAGTAAGACTCAGTCTCAAATAAAAAAAAAAAATTAACTATTACAATGACAAATCCCTGTCCAGGCATAAATACTAGTCTATATGAAGCTGTGTGTCATAGCATTGCAGGGACTATGGGTGAAAGGAGTGGGTACCTTGGTTTATTACTGGGCAATGAATGTGTGTGTGGGAGGTGTCTGCGATGAAACCCTTTATAGCAGGTGGTAGCCTAACCCATGGCCATGCAGAGATTTCCATCCATCAATCGTATTAGAGGACAATCAGCAGTCTGGAGAGGATAGCTGAGGAGAAGAACAGTGGGGACAGTGTGGGTAATTAAGGAGAGAAAATAGCACAATTAAATTTAAAGTAGAATGTCTGGAATAGGCAAATCAATAAAGAAAGTAGATTAGAGAGGGCGGCACCTGTTGCTCAGTGAGTAGGGCACCGGCCCCATATACTAAGGGTGGTGGGTTCAAACCCAGCCAAACTGCAACAAAAAAATAGCTGGGCATTGTGGTGGGTGCCTGTAGTCCCAGTTATTTGGGAGGCTGAGGCAAGAGAATCATCTAAGGCCAAGAGCTGGATGCTGCTGTGAGTTGTGACATTACAGCACTCTACAGAGGGTGACAAAGTAAGACTGTGTCTCTAAAAAAAGAAAAAGAAAGTAGATTAGAGGTTACCAGGTTCTGGGAAGACAAGGGTTGGTGGTCAATTGAGTTTCCTAGAGTCCTCAGTCCTTTGTGAACCGGGTTGCCTAAAACAACAGAAAGTTATTTTCTCACAGTTCCAGAGGCTAGAAGTCCAAACTCCACAAGTTGGTAAGGTTGGTTCCTTCCAGATGTTCTGAGGAAAAAATTCATTTCATGATACTTTGTGAGCTTCTTGCTGGCTCCTGGCAATTCTTGGCTTATAAACACATTATTCTAATCTCTGCCCAAGTCTTTTTTTTTCTCTCTCTTTTTTTTGAAACATACTGTCACTCTGCCACCCTTGCGCTCAAGCAATCCTCCTGCCTCAGCCTCCGGAGTAGCTGACGCTACAGGCATGAGCTACCATTCCCGTGTAATTTTTCTATTTTTAGTAGGGGGGTGTCTTGCTCAGGCTGGTGTTGAACTTCTGATCTCAAAAGATTCTTCAGCCTGGGCCTCCTAGAGTGTTGACACTACAGGTGTGTGAGCCACCCCACCGGGCTACTATCTTATTTTGACCTTCTAGTCCTAGTACCCCTGTGTTTACTTAAAGGCCAGGGTAGGTATGGGTCTAGGGTTCCAGGGATTTGGGAAACCAGCACAGGAGCTGCGGAAAGTGCTCAGCAAAGGATGCCCACACCTCATCCTATGCACTGCCATCAACTTTCTTTCCTAATTACCAGAGGAAGGAATCGGGTAGTGAGCTGTAGGTGCGAGGCCCGCGGTAGGGAGGGGTGTGGATTTGGGGGCCAGCAAGGCAGGACTGGAACAAAGGCGGAGGCGGGGACAAAGCTCCTCGGCCCCCAGTACCCGGCAGGAACAAAGGCCACAGCCGCCTGGTGGCCCGGCAAGCCTCTGCTGCCGCCATAAATAGGTACATTGGCGCCAGGTCGGGGGCGGTGCTGTGCTGCTCCCAGCCCCCGTCGCCTTTGCCCGAGCGCGCCTGGGGAGCAGCAAGCGGGGTTTTTGCGATACTCGCCGCCGTCTGCGACCAGAGACCTCAGGACCTGAGGGGCGCTGCGCAGGGGGCCGAGTTCGGGCCTCGCGACCCGCCCCGCGGAGCCCATTCCTCGGGCGGTTCCCCTCTCTGCCTAGGCCCGTTTCTCCCAGACGCGTTCTGCACAGACTCTGCTTTCCTTTCGGACAGGATACTCCTCACACAGATCCTGCTCCCTTCCTTGGCTTTCTCCACCTAGAAAAGCATCAGAAGACTGCAGCAGACTAAAACAGGGACAGGAGCCTGAGGGCTGGGTGGGATTTCTCAGACACGCTGCCTAGTAGCCGTTAGTGATCTACATTTTATTCAGACAACTTTCTATGTTCCTCCAATTAACAACAAGGTAAAACCCAAAAGCCAGTTTCATCGGTCCAACTGCAAGGATCTCTTCCCGAAGGGACACCCTCCGCCTCCTCCAGGCACAACCTCCACTAGGCCTTGGTCCCTCCCACTTTCCCATTGGCCCCGCCCCTGGCCTGTAGCTATTGGTGACGCAGCGGCTGGAGACTTGTGACTGTAAGGCGAAGGGGCGCAGATTGAGGAGGCGCTCAAACTGCCCATGCGCTTGGGCACTCAGCAGTCTGCCCAGGAGCAGCCTGGAATTGCAGCTAGGTGGGAATCACACTTGAGCAACAGCGTGCTCCACCGGCTCGCGGATTAAATCGCGGCGTTGACGTCACAAGGGCCCCGCCCCCACCACAGGAGCCACGCCGAGGTAGAATTTGTGGTGGGAGGACCCGGACGGGCGCGTGCGTACTCGCGGCCTAGCCCGCGCTGACCGGCCTGGGCCCCGCCTCCGACCTATGCGCCCAACGCGCGTGCGCGGCAGCGTCGGCGCCAGTTATTTCTGTCCCGCCCCCCGGCCGCAGCTCTTTCTGCAAGCGGGCGCGCGGGTGAGCGGTTGTTCGTGTCTCCAGTGGTGTAGGTTTCGGCTGCCGTTGAGGCTGAAGGGCAGGGGCCCCGTCGGCAGCCCAGCAGGCAGCAACCAGCCGTGCCTCGGCAGCGCCCCGCGCGCGGGGGGCAGCGGCCCAGGAGGCGCG